ACACCATTGCTCTTCAGTACTTTGGAGAGGTCCCTAACATCAGACTTTCCCATGGCAATGCACCTTTTAATTTCCTGGCTGCTGGTGCCAAGACTGTTGACTGTGGAGCCAAGCAAGCTAAATCTGGACTAGAGATAGATATTATTAATGAGGACTGTTCCCCTCTATGAAGCAGGCAGAAATCAGACTCAGACACCCTCATGGTACATTGGCTCCTTTTAGAAAATTCCACAGGGCTATTCTACTCTGTCACCTGCAGAGTGAAGATGCCACTTTGAGGACTAAGGCATGCTAACCCAAACCATGATACTCTAAATCGCCTTACGTTCATGCAAAGCTGGACAGAGTAAGACCAAAGAAGATCTGATGCATTTGAGTTATAGTATTGATGCAGAATGTTGACTATACCAGAAGAACAAACATACCTGTCTTACAAGCAGTGCAACCAGAATGCTCCTTAGAGGCTAGGATGGTGGGATTCAGCTCACAGACTTTGGGCTTGTTATCAGAAGGGGCCGGTCAGTGGAGGACGTGCTGGGAAAATGAAGGCTCAGTGAAGGAGAGGCAGAGCCCCATGGTGTTAGAGTGACACAGTGGATAGAATAACCCAACAATGGATGAAAACCATTGTGAGGATGGCCCAGTGTTCCACCCCATTTCAGGGTTTTTTTTACTAATGAAAGTTTACAGAGACTTAGGGTTTCCAGTCATTCATTGTTGTACCTTTCTCCCTGCCCACACCGTCCCCCTCAATTTACTCTTCTCCTTGAAAAGTAAAACTCTTTCATTGTTATGCAGTCCCTCCCAAGTCCACTCCACTATGCAGCCTTCATTCTGGACTCCTGTCATGCCAATAATACCCATATCATATAATAATATATCCTTTTTAAGAACATTATGCTGAGTGAAATATCCCAGTCACAAAAGGACCAATATTACATGATGCCACTGTTGTAGAATGGGACTGTCCTTGGGGTTGGGGAGAGACTGAGTAAGATGGGTTCAATAATGTATACTGCACTGAAA